GGCTGAGAGGACGTGGGCTCCACATTCCTCGGGTTCGCTTGTGAAAATGGGCCGTGTGCCGTGATGCCGGTGGGACTGGGCCCGCGGGTGCTGCCCAGCGGGAAGAGGAGGTTCCTTCAGGCCCTAGAGAGCTAATCTCCGAGCCTTTCTTTGTGCTGATGACCTTGTTCCTAATTATCGGAGTTGAGGAGACTGTTTGGGATTAGTGAATTTTTGTTAGGAAAGCCGTTGGTGTGTGATTGTTTCCTGGGGAAACAAGGGCGTGGCCACATTCCTGTAATAGTGGAGTCAGACACCCTGTTTGTGCCAGACCCCCCTACCCCCCGCTTCCTGCAGTCACCCTGGTGAGCCTTGGGGGTGACATTGATCTGGGAACCGAACGCAAGCAGTGACATGACTGGATAACCGGTTTCTTTCTCGTGAATCAGTCTCGGGTGGTGTTGGGGATGAGACACCTTTGGAAATAGCAACTTTGGCTCGACATCGTTCTTTCAGAGGTTTTGTGAGTAACTGCCTGCTCGTGGCACGTCTGGGCAGCCGCGTTGTCATTATGCGTCCCCCCCACTTCCCCTCGGACAGGTCATGCAAGGTGACGCTGAAATCAGCACGGCACCTTAGGGTTTCCCACGGCTCTAACGTGGTGTCGACAGGTGAGTATTCAGCACCGCCCACCTGCCCAGGACCCTCAGGGCCATGTCGGGGGCCGTCCCCCAGCGGTGACCACCCGAGAGGCCGGGTAGGCTCCGGGCAGCACCCACATGAGGCAGCGGCCGTCGGGAGTTCTGGACGTGAGACGCTGTCGTGACCAGTGTTTATCCAGCGGCTCCCGGTGTCTGACACGAATTAGGTCCCCAGTAAACTGGGGCTCAGTAGCCTGAAAGGCACCCTGCCTCCCCAATAATAGAAGCCGCGGATTTCGTATGTTCAGCTGGTAACCCGTCTCCGCTTCCTTGGCAGGTTCACATAAGCACCACCGGGCTGATTGTGACCCCGCCCCCGAGCAGCCCGGTGACGGCCGGCCCCGCGTTCACGTTCCCGTCGGAGGGCCCCTACCCGGCCGCACTTGGGGTGAGTACAGGCCTCAGCCCGCGGGCACAGTGACGTCTTCGGGGCCCTGCGGGGCTCTGTCTTCATCCTCTGCTCTCTTAGTCTCAGCGGGAAGTCAGCACTTATCTTTTACCAGTGAGGTCACTGGGGGCCCTGGGGAGCACCTCTACCTTCCGTTCAGGTTCAGCCTGATTTCCTAACAGCTCAACCGTTGCTTCCGTGGGCCTTCTAGACTGGCCTCATTCCTTACGAGGACGCGTTTATCAAAGTCCCGAGGGCACTGGGACCCAGGTGCTGCGTGGCTCGCTCTGGGTCCCGCGGCACGTGGATCCCGGGCTCCACGTCCAGTTCCTCTCGGCTCCTGCTCGGCTCTCGGTCCGCGAAGGCGGGCTGCCTGCAGGCCCGCAGACTCCTGGCGCCTGCAGACAGAGTCTCAACGCTGGTGGCTGTAAAACATCCTGACAGGGAAATTCGTGGGAAGGGAGAGGGCAGCCCAGGAGACTGAGACAAAGAAGAACTCTGAGAACACGGTGAAAGGGAAGAAGCAGGCGGGCGCAGCCCTGGGAGTGGGAGACAGAGGTGTGGGCGAAGCCCTGTTTCCTGGACTTGCACGTGACCTGCGAGGAGCCAGCCTCTCTCTGGCCCGAGCCTTGTACCCTCAGGCTGCTTGTTCCCGTGCCCAGCCAGATGGGGAGAGGACAGAGCGCTGAGTCCCTCTGCCCGTGGGCCCCACCCCTGTAGGTGGCTTTACAGAACCCCACCTGCTGGCGATGCTGTCAGAGAAAACAGGGTGACGGGGGCGCAGACGTGGTTGGAAGCCTAGCTCAGCCCCTCTTTTGTTGTGTGGCCATGAAAGTCACTCACTCTGAGCCGCTGTGCCCCCGCCTGTAAACCAAGACGAGTCGTATCTGCTGGGAGCCGGTGGTGACCAGTGGTGATGTGCGCAACTCGGGGTGGGGGGCAGCTGCGGCAGGTGTGGTGTGTCCGCCGGTTCCCCCGCAGACAGCCTGGGGTCTGGCCGTTGTGATGCTCCCCTCCGCTGTCTGTACCTGGCGTGGGGAGGCCTCTGCACACTGGCTTGTTTTGTAGCTTGTGGGTTTTATATACGTCGCCTCTGCTGGAGCCCTTCCAGCCCAGCATTTGTCCCCCTCCAGCAAGGACCTCTCCGAGTGTTAGTCAAGATGTTGGCTCCATCCAGTCACATTTTCTTCATTTTTAAAATTTTCCATTTATTTTATCTTGATACAGTTCATAAATAATTGAAAACCGGCTTTGAAACAAGGTGGGATATATGTTAACGCAGGGTTAGCCCTGAGCTTGGCGTAGACTCTGGAGAGCTTTCCAAAGTTAAGTGTGTTCTTAGGTTTAAATGGAAGTTTGTAAATTCTGCTTAGAGGTTAAAGTTTGGAGGTTTTTTTAGAAAAATGTTTACAGAACAGTGACAGCTTCCTCGGTAGAACAGCTGTTTGGTGCAGGACAAGTCACACGGGTGCCTCTGGGGAGAAGGTACAGTCAGGTGGCCTTTACTGGAAGGTTCTGTTCGCCGTGGCTGTTTTGACCAGAGCAGTTTGCCTAATCTTCCTGCCTGCTCATCTGCAGAAAAGACTGTCTCCTTCCTTCCTCCCTCCCTTCCTTCCTTCCTTCCTTCCCCTCTCCTTCTGTCCCTTCCTCCCTCCTCCTTCCTCCCTTCTTACTCCCTCCCTTCCTCCCTCCCTCCTTTCCTCCCTTCCTCCCTTCTTCCCTTCTTCCCTCCCTTCCTTCCTCCCTCCTTCGCTCCCTCCCTTCTTCCCTCCCTCCTTTCCTCCCTTTCTTCTTTCCTCCCTCCCTTCCTTCCTTTCCCTGTACACTCACAGCCCAATGGTACTTTCATTTCCAGGTGGATACTTTGCATGGAAAAATCCTAACTTGATTTCTTAAGGGAAAAAGACTGACTTTTCTGATCTTAGAAACATTCATTAGTGGGTAAGGCACAGAGCTGGCTGCATTTCCACACTCTTGGGCTGAAAACCACGCAACACAGTAAATGGCCAATCGCTCTTTAGCTGCGGGCACGCTCTAGGGCACGTGGACGGGACGGGTCACAGGAGAGCGTGCAAGCACCAAATGTAATTCACCTTCCACCATTGGGTCCTGGGATTATATAAGAAAGCCTGCATGTGCAGCAAGAGGGTGGTTTATTTCACTGGGTCTCCTGTGCCAGTTCCATTGAATGAAAACCTAATTAGAAGCAGACCTGTCGCCTGCCCTCCCGGGAGATGTCTGCGTCCCGGAGTCCCTGGTCGGCTGGCAGAAATGCCTTGGGTTTAATATGTTCAGTTTAAGTGGAAAGATCCCAGGAACCTCTGTATTTCCGTCAGCCTGGCAAGCACCCTCTTTAAAATTTGAAACCTTTCCCCAGGCTTCGAGCTCTGGCACATTAGTGTGGGCAGCATGGCGGAAAGGGAGCCCTGCTTTTCCTGGTGTGGATTTTGGGTCTTCGGTGCCACCAGTGGAATCAGAAATGATCCTTATTTCTACCACCTTTTTCATGAAGTGAGAGTTTTTAATCTTTTGTGCAGAACGGAGTTACGAGCACTTTGTCCCGTGCGTGTCACAAGGAACAGTTAAAATGTCTGCTAGCCAACATTAGGAGCAAAGCTGGCTTTGCGCCTCACTCCGACCGTTCACAGCAGTGCGTCTTCCTGGCTGATCCTGTGAGGGAGGGCGTGAGGTCTTCGTCCTACGTCTTCTGCCTATGGCAGGAGGACTCAGAGACAGGTGGCGAGTTGTCCCTGAGAGGGAGAGGTGTTTGGGTACCAGAGTCACGGGGCAGCCAGGTCAGTGAAGGCCAGATGCAGCCCGTGGCCAACTGAAAATCAGATTGCGTTCCAAAAATGTGTGACCATCACTAAGACAAAAATGTGCGTGCGTGTGCGTGCGTGTGTGTAGTGTGTGCGCGCCCGTGTGTGTATTGTGTGTGTGCGTGTGTGTGTGCATGCATGTGTGTGTGCAGTGCGTGCGTGCACACGTGTGCAGTGCATGCATGCGTGTGTGTGCAGTGTGTGCGTGCGTGTGTGTGTGTGTGTACTTAAGCAAAATTAAGGATGTCAGGTTCTCAGAGTAGCCAGCACGTAGTTAGTCCGTTGTCGGGCACGGGCCTGCCAGGCCTGGGGGTTTGTGAGGTGGACGCATAGCCCCAGAGTTGGCAGGAGCTCAGGACGTAGGCTGGGATCAAACTCTCACAGCGCCCACAGAGGAGGACGCTCTCATGTCAGGAGCCCAGCTCTCTCCATCGGTACCGTCCTGTTCTCGGGGTGGGGGAAGCACAATGTTTTCTCACTTGTGTAACCCTCGCCGAGGCCCGTCACCGCCCGTCCGCAGGGCCAGGTGACGGCAGAACGAAGACGGTGAGGCGGTTTCCGACCGCAGTCTCAGGAACCCTAACGACTGTGACTGAGCTTCTCCGCTCCACGATGCGGGAAAGGCCCCGGGACGTCTCTGGCTATAACTCCGTGTCACAGCTCAGTCCCCGGGGCGCAGGCCTTCCGTAGTTCCTGCTGAGTCAGGGAGCTTGTGTAGGTGTCTCTTCTCAAGTCAGAGGTGGAACAGTTTACCTGCCGTTCGTGAGAGACATTCCATTCCCAGAGAGGCTTTTTTTAACAACCAAATTCTTAACTACATCTTTCCTCTAGACATCATTGTCTGAGCATCTCTTTCTAGCGTGTGTAAATACACTCTAAGTCTTTTCGTTTCTTCGTAGCTGTTCCCAGAATCAACTGCTTTAATTCCAGTGAGTGTCCAGCTGAGACCAAAAACTCAGCGCTTTCCACCTTCTTACTTTTATTGAATTCTGCTGCCCGTGTTTTTTTCAGTCACTCATGTCAGTATTTCTGCTTCCTGCTCATTACTGAAAAGAGGCAAAACACCCCCGTCATCGCGCAGACGCGGCTGTGTGCCCACGCTGGTGCTGCTCGCTGGGGTTGGTGGCCCCGCTGGCCCCAGGGGGCGAGACCAGCAGCCCCTCACGCTGTCCCCTCACCGGCCAGTGTCCCCACGTCTGAGTTCAGTTCACAGGACAGATGAGAGAGGCTGGGGCTCAGGCCTGCATGTGCGTCTGCTGGAAATGAGACGTTGAGAAGGAAATGATGCTGGCTCAGGGGGTGTGGAGTGGGGCTTGCTCAGAGGACCCAGAGGCTGTCCTGGCCTCCCTGTTCTGCCCTGGGCACGTGGGGGAGACGCACACATGCAGGACAGGCGGAAAGGAAAGGGCCCCTTCCTGGCAGGACCACAGGCTCCAGGCAGAGCGTCCTCCAGGCAGCCGCCCGCAGCCTTCAGCCGGGGTGGGACCTCCTGGATCTTGTCACCTGGGCACTTCTCGGCTGGTTGCAGGAAACGGAGAGGAGGGGGGTCCCACCACGTCCTTGAACTTTGACCCACATTGACCACTAGGGCATGTGCGTTGTTGGTGGCCTGGACCCAGCTACTCAGAGAGGAAACTTCTTTCTTGGAGGGACCTCGAGAGCGACCCTGAAAGGCCGAGCCGGAGTTGGAATCTGCGTTTCTGACCCCAAAGCCAGTGCTGCCCCCATGGTGTCCAGCTGCCTCTTCCTTCAAGATCGGCAGGTTGGGGACCACTTCCCATCAGCAGACCCCTGGGTCCTGGTTGTAAGCAAAGCAATAGTCAGGAATTGTCATTGTCACCTGTGAACACTGCCACTTGCTGGTGAGCGAAGGTCTGGATCTGCAGAAGCTCATTTCAGTGACTGGTGGACAGACGTCCACTTCCCTGGGTCACGGCCACCGGGACCCGCTGTCCCAGCCCTGCCCGCTCAGCTGCAGGTCCAGCCAACGTTCTGGTTCCGGACAATGTCAAGTGAGCAGATTGTTGCGACCGTGTGACCTCTGCTGCCGGCAGCTCCAGAGACACCTTGGCTGCGGATGGGGGGCGTGTGCTGGGCTCCAGTGCCCGACCGAGAAGTGACCGGTGGCTCCAGGTGGCCCTGGCCATGAGAGGCTGTGACTTCCCTGCAGACGCCTGGGGTCCCGCAGGACCACACCAGGGGTCCTCCCGAGCGTCCACGTCGTCAGATGGTCTCAGTGTAGGTTGTTCACACAGCAGCCCACGAGGCCTCCTGGCCTGTCCCAGCCCTGGGCTCACCAGACCTGTCGTTTGACCAGCCCCACAGGCGGCCACGTCGAGGAATCTGATTTTAATCTTTAGTCTTCGTGCGTTTATCCACCTGCTAACACACACACACATACACACCCACACACGTGCACCATTTCCCTGGAGATTCGCAACCCAGCCTCAGGGACAAGTCTGCCCACGAGACGGGCCCCACCAGAGAGCTGTGTTTTCTGTCAGGCGCAACCTTGGGATCTTTCAAAACATCCTCTTTTGCACCAGATCTCAAGTGCCTGCTGACTTACTCCTGTAGAAGTCACGTGCACCGAACATTGCTTCATGGTATGTTTGTAGCTGTAAGAGGTGACCTTTTTGCTGAAGTTGTTGTTGACACAGTGTGGCCTGTGTTTTGATCAGGTCCATAGATTCTTTTCTTTGCCTTTTTCTGCTCAGGGCCAGTCTGGCGCAGCCTCTACTTTAGGGACATCAAGGTGCAGCAGACAGTTTTCATTTCCTCCCTTTGCCAGCGGACCTCAGCTCGGAGAGTGCGGCGGGGCCTCGGCTCTGTTCTGCGTGATTTCTGGGGGTGGGTGGCGCGGGGTCCTTGTGTCTTGTGTGTCCCCTGCCCTCCTCGGCCGCACCGCTGTGAGGTGGGGCCTGGGGAGACGCAGTGGAGACATTCGAGTGGTGATTTCAGCCTCCCCGCTGGCCCTGGGTGTCCTCTCCGGGAACCACCCGGGTCACGTGCCCCGAGCATTCCACCAGGATTATCTCTATTTCTCTCTGCTCTGTCCCTGGAGACCAGCGGCCTGAGTGCCTGGCCCTCTCCCGGTCAAGGTCGTGGGGACTCCAGGCCCGTGCGCTCCCTCCCAGAGCTGCCCCGGGTCGCAGCCTGGCCGCGTGTTGTGGCTGTTGCCACCTCGCCGCCCCCCACCCCCGGAGCGCCCTGCACCTCACTGTACTGCACCCGGAGCCCTGCAGCGGCCGCAGCTGCAGTGCGGGAAAGTCCAGCTCCAGAGTCGAGAAAGCAAACAGAGCGTGTGCGACCGTTGCAGCGCGTCTGGAGCCCTCTTCTGCTGCCATTGCTGTGCTCCTGAGCTCTGTGCACCGACAGGCCGGTGAAGTCACTGTTGCTGAGATTCAGATTTTAATTCCGGAAAAACAGAAACGAAGTGTTGTAGCTATGTTTAGAAACCAGGGGGTGTTTCCTCCTTGATGCCGTCGTGCGGACGCCGCGTCCACTGTCCTGGGTGCACGTTCTCGCCTCCTTGTCCCCTTTGATTCAGGCTTCACACCGAGTGGTTCACAGATGTGGGGAGGGGAGGGGGGGCCGATTTTCCCAGGAGTTTCAGTTCCGGACCCTAAGGAATTAGCCGGGGTTTGTAGCTCAGAAGGTGACAATTGCTCCATTGATTTTGTGAAGACTGGGAACCCTGTGGCAGAGCCCGACTCGTCTGTGCCCAGAGAGGGCCCAGCCGCTAGTCCCTGGTGTGCTTGTTAAGATCTCCAGCCTTGATAGCGCTAGAATTTCAAAACCTGGCAAAGACAGAAGAACGAGCCGAAGTGGCAGCGGCTGCCCAGTGAGTGTGGCTTGCTGCTGTTTGCGGTTTGGAGAGACCGGCATCAAAGGAAACTCTCCTCTGCAGAGATGGTTTGAGATACAGTGCAGCTGAATTGTCTTCTGCAGTGTTTAAGGTTCGGGTTGCAGAAACAATCACAAATTAATTCCCAACAGGCGGGGTGACGTCGCAGCTGCCCCGACAGGCACTGGGACCCTTGCTGTGGTCGGCACCAAAAAGCGCCATTAATCATACAACTGCCTGCAGTCGTTTCGTTTTTTCCTTGCCCTCCTCCCAAGTGTGATTTCTTACCTGTGTGACGAAAGGGTCGCTGTGGCTCTAAGACCTTAAAGGAGAACAAGAGAGGGATCTTAAGGGGAGGCTTCTGCACCGGGCGGCTGGCTCTGCCCTGCGTGGATTCCGCTGTCTTTTCCCGGGGATTTCTGATTCCTCTTCTTTCCCACTTGCTGTAAAAGATGCCAGTAACGCTTTCTCCTCTCTCTTCCTCCAGACCGTGAATCCTCCCCTCCCCCCGCCCCCTCTCCAGGCGGCCACCCCCGCGGGTGCTGCTGTTGGGACGGGCGCCAGGCCAGCAGCCGGACCCACTGACCAGACCGCGCACCTCCGGCCTCAGACCCGCCCCAGCGTGTAAGCGCGGGCGTCATTTGTGGATGCTGGAGTGTTCATGTCAGACGGAGCCCAGACAGCGGAGTAGAGGGCATCTTTCTTTTTCTTTTTCTTTTTTTAATTCTCATTTTTATTGAAACGTAGTCAGTTTACAGTGTTAGTTTCAGGTGCACAGCAAAGCGATTCAGTGATACATAGACGTGTATGTATATTTTCAGTTTCTTTTGCATTATGGCTCATTACCAGAAATTGAGCACAGTTCCCTGTGCTGTACGGTAGGTCCTGTTGTTTATTTTAGTTACGTCCATGTGTGTCCGTTGAGAAGGAGAACGCCTGTCTGATGGGAGCTGGGGCCAGGCTCTCTGCTCGTGACCTGCGTCCCGCACACATCTACTTAGTCGTGTGTGTGATTGGGAAATGGAAACGAAACGGTCTCAGGACGAGCCGCCTGTCCTGCCCAGGCTCTGTCCTCAGCCTCATCCCTGGCGGATACGAGGGAACCGGGGGCGGAGGGGGAGGTCCCCGCACAGGCCCAACCTGGCGGACGTGCGTGTGACAAGCCGCAGGTCCCCAGCAGTGTCTCCAGAGCCGTCTGGCTGGCCCGTCCGGGGTCTCCCACCTGCAGCTGGGTTTGCAGGTTCCCACCCTGTGTGACTGACCCAGAGACGGTTGGGCCGGATTGCCCGCCGGTCCCCGTGGGTTGGCGGCCCTGTCACCTTGTGCCGAGGGGCCGTGCGGTGCTCTCTATGGGCTGGTCTTTCCTTCCCTTTGATGCTTCCCAGCTCAGATCCTCTCTGGTTGAGCACGTGGGAGCAGGTGCAGCACCGGGGGATGGCCAGGGGCTGGCTTCCCAGTGGAGTCTCGGACCGTATGTGCTGGTCGGGGCTGCTCCCCAGTCTTACGGGCCGTCTGCAGGCTCAGTTGTCCCAGCGGGCACCTCGCCCTGCAGCAGGCCTGCAGTCTGGAAGCCACGTTACTTCCTTCACACCGCGGGCCCTATGTGGCAGGGTGGTCACCTCCCCCGAGAGGACCAGGTGGGCAGCTCTGAATCGGGGCCTCTGCATTTTGGACGCAGGTGGCAATTCAGTGGCCAGTTTGTTCCGTGGCCAGTGGCACCACTGCCTCTTGCAGAGGAAAGGATCATACATCATGCTTACATTCTTACAAAACATTCAAGACTTTGTACTGAAGAAGAGCTTTGAGCTCCTCAGGGTTTGCCTGTTGCCCGGCTCACACTCAGACGGTCCTCTGTCCCGCAGGTATGTGGCCGTGTACCCGTACACCCCCCGGAAGGACGACGAGCTGGAGCTGAGGAAGGGGGAGATGTTCCTGGTGTTCGAGCGCTGCCAGGACGGCTGGTTCAAAGGCACGTCCATGCACACGAGCAAGACGGGGGTGTTCCCCGGCAACTACGTGGCCCCCGTTACCAGGTGTGGTTTTAAGTCAATGGTTTACTAAGTTCTAAACAGAGAAGCTTTGTTCTTTGCTGTGGTTTTCAGCCTGTCCAGGATTCCTTCTCACGTTATAATCGCGTGTTACTGCACCAGCACTTAAAAAAACCCTTTCTCTTCTTGCTGAAATTCCTTCTAACTCTAAAATCCTCAGCTTACTTACCTCGATGTTCTGAAATGGTAGGTTTCTCCCAATAAATGTACTGGGTGTTATGTTAATTGCTTTAAGTTCCATGTGAGAGACTCAAGTACACCGTTCTCAATATTCTTCTGCTAGAAAATAAAAAAGGCAGTGTTGGATATAAACGGAGGTGATGTTATGAATACCTGTGTGTGTACAACACCTGTGAAATGCCAGGCGGGCGGATATCCAAGTGCATCGTGCGTATCAAGTCCAGGTCCATAAACGGTGTGCTGATGCACGGCTGTTAAGCCCCCCACTGCATAGCTGAGAAGTCGGGGTGGGGAGACCAGGTGGCTTGTCTGAGTTCACCCAGGGAACAGCTGCGGAAACCCAGGCACTGGCTCTGCCGTTACGCCAGTAGCTTGGCGATGACCTCGGATTCTCAGAAATAAAATTCCTTAAACGGGGCAGAGACCCTTCACCCCTCTCACTTGAGGGTGATTTTGCTCCCCAAGGGAATTTGGCAACATCTGGGCACGTTATTGTCACTATGTGGGGAGGGGGACCCACTGCGACCCAGGGCGTACCAGCCAAGCACACTGCAGGGCACCCCGCGGATCACCCCCACATCACTCAGCGCAGCCTCCACAGAAAGGGGTTGTCTGGCTCAGAATGTCCCCGAGGTCAGGGAACCTTGTTATGGATACTCCGAAGCAAGGGCTTTGGGTGTACAGACACATGTTTTTTATTGAAAGAGCCCACGTTCTGGGTGTTCAGAACGTAGCTCCTGAACAGGATGAAGTGACCTGTGGTGGCATCAGCTTGAGCGGGTGCCCGTTTTTGGCCACCAGGCTCTTGACAAATAGGCTGGGTTTACCTGTGTTACGTCATTGCTCAAAGCCCCTGATTTCGCGTGAACGGCTTCGTGAGCTGACGTGTTGTCAGCTGTTGGCCTCGGTTCACAGGCTGGCCCACAGCCAACTCAAATGGAAGTCACCATCGTGACAGACGGCAACGTTGGCCTCAGTTCACAGGCTGGCCCGCAGCCGACTCGAATGGAAGTCACCATCGTGACAGACGGCGACAGCATGTTGGCTTCAATCTGACTTGCAGGTTTTTAATCAGCGTAAACCTTCCTTGGGTTTGTGTGAAAATCCACACTCACGATCCGGAAGACGACCGATAGGCCTTCCCGGGTGGGAACAAAACAAATGAAAAACCAAAACTAAGGGAAATAAAACAAGCCAAGCAACAGCAGGAAAGCAAGTGAGTGAAGGAAGACATTTCACAGGGTTCCGGCTCAAACGGCTGAAGGTCCCTGGAGAAGCGCTTACTTACAGCGAGTTCTCTTGTTCCTCAGGGTGAAGGAGGAGGAGGTCAGGTTAGTGAAGCGTCCTGCGTGCTAGGACGTACCGCGTGTGGAATTTTTGTTTGGTTTTTGGGTTTTGGTTTTGTTTTTGTAGGGGAAATAAGTTTACTTATTTATTCACTTGTTTATTTGTTTATTTTTATTTTTAAACGTATTTATTTTTAAACATTTTTTAGAGTTATAGTCATTTTACAATGCTGTGTCCAATTCCAGTGCAGAGCACAATTTTTCAGTTGTACATAAACATACATATATTCATTGTCACTTTTTTTTTGCTGTGAGCTACCACAAGACCTTGTATATATTCCCCTGTGCTGTACAGTATAATCTTGTTTATCTATTCTGCATATGCCTGTCAGTGTCTACAAATTTTGAACTCCCAGTCTGTTCCTTCCCACCTGTTTAATTTTTAACGGAGGTGTTGAGGATTGAACCCAGCACCTCATGCATGCAAGCACACACTCTACCACTGAGCTGTACCCCCCAAGAATTGTTTAAATAAATTTAGAATATCAAAAAAAATGCTTTACGTAAAGCTACACGTTTATTATCTTGTGATAAACTCTGATGGAAAAGAATGTGAAAAAAAACCAACAACAAGGTCCTACTGCAGAGCACAGAGAACATATTCAATACCTTGTAATAAACTCTGATGGAAAAGAATGTGAAAAGAAACTGCACTGAACCTAATTATTAAATCTAACTGGCACACGTTTGCCTGGCGCAGGCTGGACCCCGGTAGCCGTGCCCATTCCACAGGGCCCTGCTGCTAAGGGGCTTCTACCGAGTCAGGAGCATTCAATAAGGAATTTACTACAAAATAGCTCATCCCACCTTGTAATCAGGGGTCACGGAAGGAAGACACCCACCTGAGACAGAGCAGAACCCCAGGTCTCGGGCCTGAGCCTTAAAGGCTTCTTGGAAGGGGGATTGAGGCACAAATGAGATGAAGGCAGGTCGGGAGCAGCCGGAGGGGGTGTCCGGGGGGAGGGTGGGGGCCGCACACGGCTGTGGACGCGGGTGCTGTGGTCCAGCGGGGACAGCGAGCAGTCAGGGCCTTGGAGGCAGTGGGGATGCTCCGCTCGGTGTGGACCTGGGCCTGCAGCTGTGTGCCCCTGAGCAGAGCGTGCGTGGGGGTTCTGTGACCCAGAACATATCTCCAGACCGGCCTCCGCCTGGGGGCTGCTATTACCCTGAGCTTGTTCATCTTTCTTTTGCCTTACCCCTTGTCAGACGATCCCACTCATTTTTTAAAATGTTCAGTCATTTTTTCTTGTATTTAGTTGCTCTGTCTCCCGTTTTGCTGATGGCTTGGGCTTCTGTCTTGGCAGGACCGTGACCAGTGCTTCCCAAGGTAAAGTCCCAGTGGCTGCTGGGCAGGCCGGTCGGGGGGTGACCACAGGCAGCCCGTCCACCGCAGGAGGGCCTGCCCAGCAGCTGCAGGGGAACGGCGTGGCCGGCGGTCCCGGGGTGGTCCCCACAGCCGTGGTGTCCGCAGCCCACCTCCAGACGAGTCCCCCGGCCAAGGTCCTGATGCACATGTCTGGACAGATGACCGTCAGCCAGGCCCGCAGTGCGGTGAGGACAGGTACGGAGGGGACTGGACTGGGGGATGGGGAAAGGGGTCCCGAGCAGTACCAGGCCTTTCATAACAGAGGCTGAGAGAAGCAGCTGGAATATGAAAATAGTGAATGATGTCAGGAACCAGAAGCAGACGCGGTCCACTCAGGGCTGCTTACCTCTACGGCTAAACAACTAATGCAAGCCTGCCCTGCAGGTGGAAAGTCTGAGAGCGTCAGCAGTACTGGAACGCAGGGCATCTGGGGTTGGGGTCCCGTGGTCGCGGGGCATCTGGGGTCGGGTTCCTGAGATGGCGGGGCATCTGGGGTCAGGTTCCTGAGATGGCGGGGCGTCTGGAGTCGGGTTCCTGAGATGGCGGGGCATCTGGGGTCGGGGTCCTGAGATCACCGGGTGTCTAGGGTCGGTGTCCTGAGATCGCGGGGCCGGGTGCTGGTTATTTTTGATGAACTTAGTCACACGTCTGTTTCAGACCCAGTCGGACCTGAAATAGCTTTCTTCTTTCTGTGGCATTGAAAACCTACCAAGAGTCTTGGGTAACTGTGGTGGGGGTCAATGTGTTAATAAATTCCGTCAGAAAAACCAAAAGAAGGAAAATGGTTGATGAGAAAAGGGAGAAGAATAATGATAATAATAAAAGTGAAAGGAAGGAGGAAGCCTCACGCGACCCTGTGGAGCATCGCTGGCTGGCCCTGCATGCGGAGCTGTGGAAGGGCTCCTGTCGCCATGGGCCGGGTCAGAGCCGAGCTCATGGGCGCTCAGCCATCGAGGACCAGCCTGGGTCTGGAGGAGTGGGGTTGGCCCCGCCAGGCCTCAGTGCTGCTGGGCCAGCAGCACTGTTGTGACCATGGTGATGCCCTGGCCGCCCTTTGGGGTCGGACACGCCACAGTGGCTCACCTTGGCGGTAGTGTCCGTCCGACAGTCACATTCTGCTCCTCTCTTATCACCTGCCAGCCTCGGCGCACAGCCAGGAGCGGCCCATGGCAGCGGTGACCCCCATCCAGGCTCAGAGCGCCGTGGGGCTGCCCCACCACCCCCCGGCCCCCATGGCGATGGTGGGCCCCGGAGGCCTGGGCCGGGTGGGTGCTGCGCTGGCCCCACCGAACATCCCCGCCGCCTCCCTGGAGACCGCCCTCCCCGGCCTTCCCACCTCTCCTGATGGCAGCTCGGCAGTCAAGCCAGACAAGGACGGCAAGGTGAGCCCTGCCGCTTCCCTCCCTCCCTCCTGCTTCCCCGGGGCCTGCCAGGCGCTGGGTCTGCCTTTCTCTGAGTTTGGACCCCCGGCGTGGGGTGTCGGGACCACCTCACTGCGCTCCTGCAGCTCAGGGCTCTGGGCTTCCTTCCCCCTGTGCTTGCTCTCCCACCGCGCCGCTGTCCTCAGCGCTTCCCGGCCCATCAGCTTTGCTTCCTGTTAAATGCTGCAGAAGTGCTTTCCCCGGACGAGGAGCTCGGCACTGTTGACCACACGGGTCATTTGTGGCCTCATTCTTCCTGCGCTGTGTTTGATTCTAATCTGCACAAAGAATTTTTTCTCTTGACTTGAAATACAGGGGGGAAATTATTTTCTGATTTGATAGAGCTTTTAAAAACCTCTCATTTGGGCCTGGATTTCAAAGAAAATGTAAGTGGGCAACTATGTTTGGAAGAGTCACCTCTGCTTGGGTTTGGAGACAGTGGTTGGAAGGAAGTTGATGGTGATTTAAAGTACACAGAAGGGAAGAGTGAAAGCAGACTCTGGGTGGTTGTGCTGCGATCCTGGCTATTCCTCAGTGTTCCGGGCCTTTCCCTGAAAGCTCTCACCCAGCCCTGGGAAGCCCTGGGGCAGTTGCCCGGTTCCAGGGTCGTGCGTGTCACTCTGTTGAAATGATTAGGTAAGCCTGTAAGCTGAGGTTTGTAAGGAAATAAACTTTACAACCTACTGAAAAGTTAATATTTAATTGTTGCGTTAACATGAGCACTTTTCACAGAGATGGGTATCTGTTCAGTGTTTATAATTAACTACCTTAAACTCGTGCTCACACGGACATGGTCAACGTCATCAGTACCTTCAGGAGAACTATTTTGTCGTTTAGATTCTGAAGTTCCAGGACAGTGTGTCAGGGCCTTAGTCACCAAGAACGGACTGGGAAAGAACTCCCTGCATCTCGGGCTGAGACACACCTGTGCTTCCAGGGGAATGGCTGCCCAGCCACGTCTGTGTCCTGGTCCCTGAAATCTGAGGATAGGTGTTCTTAGTTGCAGAAGGGATTTAGAGGATGTGACTGTAGGTCTAAAGATGCGTGGGTTACCCAGGTGGGTGCGGTGTCATCACAGGGGTGTTCCTGAGAGGGAGGGAGGAGGTGTGGCGTCAGAAGCAGAGGACAGAGTGTCGTGAGGAAGGGGCCGCAAGCCAGGAAGTGCCGGCGGCTCCAGGAATTTGGGCCGGCCGGAAGCACTCCTCCCCGGAGCCCCCGGGAGGAGCTGGCTCCGCCGACATCTTGAATTTCTAGAAGGTGGTTTTTCCAGGAGGTTTGTGGTGATTGGTTCCAGCAGCAGCTGACAAGTACCGTATGGGTTATCCCGCTGGGTCCCCACCCTTGACAAGGGCACGTCCCGTGGACCACGAGCGCCCTGGCTCCACGCAGTCTGCGGTCAGCTCTGACCCCTGGGACGTTTCCAGGGCTGCGTAGAAACCAGCGATCTCCTTTCTACGTGGCCCCTCGAGGTGGTTCACGGTTAGCGCCTGTTTTTAAAAGGCTCCACTTGGCTATTCCTCGTGTCAGAGCTCGCCGAAGAGGAGGGCGCAGGCTCGGGTCACACCCGACCCCCGGACCCTGACAGCAGGGACTGTGCGCGAGCCTGGGAGGTTCAGGCGCTGGGGATGACCCTGACTCCTGCTTCATCGGGTGTGCGCGAGGGGTGAAGTGAGGATGCTTGTAAAAGCATTTTGTTCAAGATTCTCGAACCAGCAGAGAATTTCTCATGGCCTCCCCTCTCTCCACGCATGTCCTCAGGATCCTCCTGTGGGCCCCGTCCATCTGCAACAGCACCCCGCGTCCTCTCCCGGGCCCCACTTTGTTTTCTGTGAACACCTGTCCTACAGCCTCTCTGTCGGGGCCGTGAACCTCCTGCCGGGCGCTCACTGCTGTTGTCCCAGAGCCTGAGGCACTGTTGGTTCCTGTTCCACACCCAGTGAACGTGTGTTGATCCTCAGGCGGCCCTGTGACTCTGGTTCCCCGAGGCCCTTCCCCGCCAGCAGCGGCTCTGACTGCTGGGAGCAGGGTTTTGATCCCAGAGGCCGGGGAGACCTGCTGCGTCCTCTGTGCACCTGGGGCGGGGGCGGGGGCGGGAGGGAGGCTCGGCCCAGACGTGGCTCCTCGTGAGCGCCTTAGACGGAATTTATTTCTGCTTAGAAAGGCGCGCTCGGCCGCTGCTCCATGACCCATACAAGGTTATTGACTTAATGCTCAGCAATTATTTTTATATGTGAAAATTACTCCTTCTGATTATCTGGTGATCATTTTCTGACCCAAATAGTCCCTTTTTTATATGCAGGATAAGGTTTTTATATGAGGTAAAATCTTTTAAGAGAAAATTGTGGGTGCAGAAACATCATTTCAGCTAATAATTTCCTGGAAAACCCGCAGGAGAAGAATTAAGGTTCATCTTAAAAGATGTGCCCTTTTTCATGCACGTTGATGTTACATTTAAAAAGTCGCTTTGCTGATTCGTAGTTTTCATTTCTGCTGTTGGATTTTGAGGAAACAAAGGTGCCCTTAGACGATGTGTCGGAGTTTGCAAAACTCTCTCAAGAGGCTCATTGTCCCACTGAGGTGGGAACGTTGAAATGTGACATTCCAAGACCAGCTCCTGGGACTGGG